TTATCACCAGTACCTCCCCTCCCCCGTGCATTTAACTGAATTATTTAATTTATGGCTGAACTATGCCATAACTTAGTGAAAGATGCCAATGCATTTTAAAGACAGGCTGCACTAGGCAGTCTTACTATGGTTGCCATCATTTGGGCAACCCCACCCTGACTCCAAACTTGACCATCCATTGAATTGGCCTTAGTACTGTTCATGAACTGAATCCAGTAGGAATGAAGGCACGGAGGTGAGGAGAAATGGGTCATGACATGAAGTGCTCTCCCAACCTCACATTTTCACAGAGCCTTTCCTTGTAACAGTTATATGCCTGAAGTCCATCACCTTGAAGAATGGATGGCACAAACCAGGCTTACAAATTTGGGCTTTGTTGTAAAGGGGATCATGAATTTCTGGAGTTTGGGAGTATGGACAATTCTTGGAAAGTGATATGAGAGTCTGCATTTTGCAGTTCTCAAGAATATTCTTCTGACGGCAGCTCCCGGGATTTTATGCAAGTAGGAATGTGTAAAGTGTTGTAGTAGGGTCTTTAAAAAACAATTAAGACATTTAATTAATTCCCTTGACCTGGATAGCACAGGCTAGCTCAATCTTCTCAGATCTCAGAAGCTAAGCAAGGTCAGCCCTGGCTAGTATTTAGATGTGTGACCTCCAAGGAATACCAGGGTTGTGACATGGAGGCAGGCTGTGGCAAACCACCACTGAACACCTCTTGCCTTGAAAAACCTATGGGGTTGCCATAAGTCAGCTGTGACTTGATGGCACTCTCCGCTTCCACCACCAATTAAACAAGTCCTGTTAGACTTCTTATTTCCCTTGGAGGGATTTAGAAGACAGAAGGAGTATACTTGTCTTTGGCATGGCATATCACATGACTTATCACTATTTTTATATACTTTAACTTCACTATTTTATATACTTTAACTTTATTTGGAACACAGAGACCTGAATATTTTATTGTGTGGGGTCCGCTATACTTTTCAAAAGAAGAGAACATCTTACTGCATTCAGACAAATCACATTGATGCAGCATACATCCTTCTTTCTGTTAATGTGACCAAGTTTTCTAGATGCTGTGCAAATTATTTGGGGTTTTTTTCCCCTTAGTGTCCTGAATATAGAGGGTTGAACATGAGTTCCTTAAATCCATATTTTTTAAAAGAATGTTACTTCTAGTTTAAAAACCAAAACAGACTAAGAAATTCCAAGATTTTCTCAAAGACTAAAGACAATTAAAGGTACGTGTATTTATGCTTATTAATGTAATGGTATTATCACCTAGTACTTCACTCATCCAATGGCAGTCAGGTGGCTCCCACCAGTTTTCTGTTGAGCAAAACCCAAAAGAAAGGTCCAGTCCGACTACTCTAAAATATTTTGCTAAAGATTGTGGGACCGACACTAAGCCATGTGGGAAAGGTGCTTCAGTAAGGAGAAGAACTGAACAAGATAGTGTGAAAAAGCTGGCTGGATCCCACCAAGTATCCACTTCTACTGCAAAAAGATTTCTGCAGGCAGAAGAACTTTTTGTGCTAGGGGAAGTTTCCTTGCATCAGAAGAGAATGCCACCATATGTTGAGCATAGTAAGACACAACACATTGCCTTTTAAACATCTCCTGAGAAATGTATTTGAGAAATATATACAGTCAAATTAATATTTGGGAAAGTAACTGTGAGTGATCAAAATGTATTGTGGCAAGCCAAATTACTCACATTTAGACTAATTGTGAAGAAATTACAAAAATCGTGTCTGAAAATGCAAAGAGAGTTCTCACATATCAGATTTCAAAGAAGAAGCCAAAAGACTGGGAATTATGGGAGGGTTTGAGCAAGGTCTTATTTTGGAGGTGTACAATATTGGTAGGTGTAATCCTGAACAAAGTCACACCCTTAAAAGTCCATTGACATCAGAGGATTTAGAACAGTGTAACTCTGCTTGGGGTTGCACAGAAAAGTTTAGGATTGTTTCTTGTGGTTTGCTTTTATGCCTCCTAAGAGTTACTGTGACACAAGCCAAACTTCTTTTGTCCGAGTTATGGAATTCAGCATGCATCCTAACACACAGGACCATTTAAATCTTCAGAACAATATTCTAGCATTCCAAGGTAGGTTTCCACATACTTTGTGTTCATTAGATTGCAAGTGCAAGTGGGTGTTACATGAGTGACTCAGCTGGATTTGCACGTGCAGTCATGTACAAAAAAAACAAAAAGAAATCTCACAGATCAGATATTTGGGAACTGCACTGGGAGGCTAATGTGGTCATCTGTGGATCGAGTCCCTCTAGATCTCCCTAATTCATAAAATGAGAGATTCCATCTCCTTTTTCTGGGCCAAACAAGCTCCTTATTGAAGAAATAACTGATGCATCTGAAACATGTTTTAACCCTTATGTTGTGTGGATTTCCAAAGATTTGTTTCAGAGAGGGAAATTTCTGAAATCTGCTTTATAAGATGTAGCCATTGATTCCTCTTATTCTCTTTATTCTCCTCTTTTACAAGAGGGATTTCTCTTCCATTTTGGGGGGGCTTTACATCGAAGAGAAATCAGTGCACACTGTGGTAACCTCAGCTTACAGTGTGCACTATAGGGTGGTGCTCTATCCAGAGGACAGGAAAGTTTGGGAAGACATAGACTGTGGTCACACACACTAAATAATCCACTCTCAATCCTCTTTCAAATGCACTTTCCAGCTTGATTTTACTGTGTGACCAAAAGGTGTAAACCTTTTGAAGGCTTACTGAGAGAGGGTCGGTCTTCCTTTAAAAAACTGATAACGCTACTACATGACTTCTTGTTGCGGTTAGAGAAACCTAAGACCTTTTCTTATCAATCCCAATGGCAGATTGATTGTGATTGCAATTTCATGGAACGGCAATAGCAAAAAGTATGGAATTCTTATGTATACAAAAGTAAAGTGACCAATATACACATCTAATACTTTAAACTTGTAACATGGTGGTACCTGACTCCAGCCACACTTGCACACATTCATTATTCAAACAAACCACTTTGTTGGAAGTTATGTGGCACTCATGCTAATTACATTCATTGTTGGTGGTCATGTGATTACATTCAAGCCTTTTGGTGTCAATTTGGGAATCACATTTTTGTGATCACAGGACAAAGATTACAGCATCATCCAGATGTATTATTACTTAACATAGGGTTACAGCTTGATATACCATAGTCTACATCAAAGCTTATGGAATTTTTATTAGTGGCAGGGAGAATGGCTATAGCCTCTCGATGGAAGGCTAAGCATCCACCCACAATTGAATTGTGGTTTGATAAACTATGGAATATTTATATTATGGAGAAGATAGCTTATCATACGAACAACTGTATAGGCTCTAAGGAGGACTGTTTTGTAGAAATATGGTGGTTGTACCTAAACTATATGGTCTCTGAAGGGAAACTGCCATATATCTCCTTGCTGGTAGATGTATTTACTCTGTAATATTCTTAAAGATGTTATTAACTTTAATACATTTTTTTGTATCTTTACTGGGATATGGCTTTGTAGTTATTGCTGTTGCATGTATAATTGTTTATTACTGTATTCACTTGGTTTACAAAGAATAAAGACTATATTTTTTTAAAGAATAGAAAGTGGATTATTTAGTGTGTGTGACCGCAGCCATAATCTGAGTATCTACAGAGTGAAATCCTGAAATTCCACAGAAACTCCCTTCCTCTCTTTGAACTTATTTTTGGTCAGAACAGCTTTGATTAGAAACTGTCTCTGTATTCCTAAGAAGAGGCAAAGAAATGAATTGCTTAATTTCAGGGAGAAATCAGGTAAAGAGGAAATAGCTTTCCTAGCTGTGAGGGATGGCACCCACCCTTTCTAGTTCTAGAAAACAGCATAAGAGACATATTGATCAATTGCAGTTTTTCTTTTTTAAAATTCTGTCAATGTTTGGTGTTAATTTTGTTTTGAAATAGGATTGATTTTAAAAAATCATTGTTAGTTGCCTTGTGTCCCTGTCTTTAAACTTCTTCTCCCCCAAGGAAAGAAGCCGCTTGTGTTTCAGTTGGTGAAACACAAATACTTACATTTCCCTCATTTAAATTAGTGGAGCTTAAAAACAGTTTAAATTCAATTAAAGTGCCTTTTTTTGCTTACATAGTTTTTTGAATTGATGCAATGAAACAGTAATTTGTAATTTGGACTTGAAGTGGTTACATATACATAACTTCCATGGAGAATGTTCAAGAGATACAAAAGGAAAGAAACCAACAAAAGGATCCAGCTGCATAAACTAAAACCAGCACAAAATAATTCTACACCAGATCCATTAAGTTATTTTTTTAATGTTAATAAGCCTTGTTGGGACAGAAGGGTAATTCTCCTTACATGGAAAAGGAACATCCGACTTTTAACTAAGCTGTGGTTTAACTTGTGAGATCCTTGCTTCAGTCTTCAAAAGGATTTATCTTTATCTTACAGGCAGAGAATACAGTTTATCAAAAATGCATTTATAAATTCATACAAAGAGCATTAATTCTACAAAATCTCTTATTGGTGGGATATTAAAAACTTTCTCCAGGATGTTGGCATGATGTCCCTGCTATGACAATGTATTTTATGGTTTGCCTTATATTCCTCTTTTTTAAAAAAATAAATAAATAACTGAGCATCTCTCAAAAGTAAGCAGACAACAAGGGTGGTTTCCTATTGTTGCTATTTGTCTATAATGAACTAAACTGAATTTTAGGAGGGTTCTAATTATTTCGCAATGGATGGAATCTCTCTCTCTCTCTCTCTCTCTCTCTCTCTCTCTCTCTCTCTCTCTCTCTCTCTCTCTCTCTCATGGGAGGGATCTTCCATCAGTATCGATGGGAGGGCACCACTGCAACCAGTCTATTATGGAACAAAACTTTCTTTTTCTCCAACCCAAATGCTAACAACGGAATAAAAAGTGTTTGGACCTATAGTTAGACTAACCCCATTCTGTATTTTATTGTAGATAATTTTGAATTCAGGACATGCAAGAGGAAAATGAAACTACAATGACTGAGTTCATCCTCATTGGTTATTCTGGTCAACCAAAGACAAGGATGGGGCTGATTATCTTTTTGACTGTTGTGTATACTATAACAGTTGCGGGGAATGGTCTTATTATCTTGGTGATCACTGCTGATCCTCGGCTACACAACCCCATGTACTTTTTTCTCAGTAATCTGTCTTTTCTTGACATTGGGTATTCAACATCTTCAATACCACAGTCTATTATAAACCTTTTAGTGGACAAGCCTACCATGTCTTTTGCATTGTGCTACTTCAATATGAGCAGTTCCGTCTACTTAGGAGTGACTGAATGTATCCTGCTGGCCATCATGGCCTATGACAGGTTTATTGCAATCTCCAGTCCACTACATTACATGATAATAATGAGCAAAAGGTTTTGTATCCAGTTAGCAATGGGGACATGGACAAGTGGTTTCTTCTTAGTAGTGATCCCCATTTATGCCACGCCAACTCACTTTTGTGGCGGAAATGTAATAGACCATCTGACATGCGAACTCAAAGCGGTTATGAAGCTTCTTTGCACGCAATCCACCTTGAATCAGCTTGTGAATTTCTTTACTGGGGTTCTCACACTACTTTGCCCCTTTGCTTTCATCCTTTTCTCATATGTGCGCATTATTGTGGCAATTCTGAAAATCCATTCAGCGGGAGGCAGGCTTAAGGCCTTCTCCACGTGTGGTTCTCACTTGGCTGTGGTAATAATTTTCTATGGCACCGCTATATTTTCTTACCTACAGCCTCAAAGTAAAATCACTCACAAGGTAGATAAGATCATTTCTGCTTTCTATGGAATAGTGACCCCCATGTTAAACCCACTGATTTATACACTCAGAAATAAAGAGGTAAACGATTCACTGGGAAGACTTATAGGAAAGAAAGGGAAAGTGTAACAAAGGGCTGGATCCAACCAGTTTTTTTCCTGCAGTTGAAAAAGGAGGGATCCGATTCAACCACCCCAAAATTATACTCTGGGGATCATGGAAAATAGACAGAAATTATGTGGGTTGGAGGTTTTAATATGGATGAGAATTTGGCAAGGGAGCAAACTAGCTGGCTGGATCCAACAGTGGATGTCAAGTCAAATCAAATCAAGGGGATGCTGAAAGGGAACATCCACTGTTGGTGGTCAAATCAAATCAAATTTGACCACCAACAGTGGATGTTCCCTTTCAGCATCCCTTTGATTAGATTTGACTTGACATCCACTGTTGGATCCAGCCAGCTAGTTTGCTCCCTTGCCAAATTCTCATCCATATTAAAACCTCCAACCCACATAATTTCTGTCTATTTTCCATGATCCCCAGAGTAGAATTTTGGGGTGGTTGAATCGGATCCCTCCTTTTTCAACCGCAGAAAAAAACTGGTTGGATCCAGCCCTTTGTTACACTTTCCCTTTCTTTCCTATAAGTCTTCCCAGTGAATCATTTACCTCTTTATTTCTGAGTGTATAAATCAGTGGGTTTAACATGGGGGTCACTAATACCCCCCTGCTATGTAAGGCACCTTACACTGGGAAGCAAGGCTCCATCCTGCAGAATGAGCCCCCTCACTTAATAGAAGGGAGATCCTATGCACATTTATTTTCCAAAGTTAGGGTAAGAAGATAAATTTAGAAATTTTAATTGCCTACAAGAAGACATTTTCCCAGGTGACTTTGCAATGTTAATTAACTTTAAACTTTGTATCTATAAGGAAACAAGTAGCACTCTGAACTACTTTAAAAGATCTTCCTAACGAATCATTGCTTCAGTGGGGACGGGGGGGGGATCAGTAATTGCTAAACATCATCTTCAAGAAATTGCAGTTTACAATAAGTTATTTAATGGAAATTGTTCTAGTGAATTTAGTTCCTGTTACCCCCAGCCTAGCAGTTCAAAAGCAAGAAATTGCAAGTAGATAAATAGGTACCACTTCAGTGGGAAGGTAACAGTGTTCCATGTGCCTTGGTGTTTAGTCATGCCGGCCACATGACCACGGAAATGTCTTTGGACAGCGCTGGCTCTTCGGCTTTGAAACGGAGATGAGCACCGCAACCCTAGAGTCGGATTCGACTGGCTTTTGAGCAAGGGAAACCTTTACCTCTGCCC